GATTTTGGCCCATTGATTTGAATGCTTTCGATCCATGTTCCAATTTGGGCTGATTTAACAACAAACGAAACCCGCTTCGGTCTAGAAGGCCAATGGCCCAATGAGTTATAAGCCTTAAGAAAGGTGTTTCCCAGCCTCAAGTGCTGATTCGAATTCTCCTCTCATAATGAATAAATTAAGTCAAAATTTTGAATTAGGTACAATGTTGTGATGTCTAACAACAACGGATTGAATTGAAAACACCAACATGCTTTGATAACAGAAGTAATGTCTCTGATTCCTTTTTCCCTTTGTCTGCTACATTGTTTTGGTGGAACAAGAATCAATGTTGTAGCTTTATAGCTGTTTGGGTAGATGGATATGCGTCTTGATTTGTCCAAGGTGTTGGCTATCCTCTGTTTTCAGCTTGAGTAGCTGCAGAAGCTCGTCTCCTTTCATTGGCAGTGCAGTAATTACTTCTTTGGTCCTATCTTTTTGGCACAGGAGCCGATACCAAAACACTGATTTTGACGAGATTTAAAATTTCACTACGATGAATTTGATTGCCAGGAACACCACTTAGGTTAGCAAGACCTAAGATACAGAGATAAACTGAAAGAATTCACTTCCAAGAAACTCACTCAAAATAGAGGAGAATTGAAACTTGATTAATTGATAAATCTTATGCATACGACGAAGGGAACATGACTATTTACAGGCAAAACCCAACTAAGGCAATAAATGAAAAGCAAAATGCAGTTGGGAGTTAGCCATTTTTGTAGACTTTGAGTGGCCATTTTTGCTGACTTTGGTGGCCATTCTAACAAAGTTACACTGGCCTATTATAGTTGGTGGTGTTGCAGAGTAGCTTCTACATACTTTCTGCATTTTTCTTGGTGCATTCTCCCTTTGTTGGAGAAAACTCACCTCGAGTTTGTTTTTTTTTTTTGAACAGCTAAATTTGATATTTATTAATACCCGGAGTACAAGGGGTACCCCAACCCCATACATCATACTTAACAGGAATCAGTATACATGATTTGGGCGCCTGTCAAATAGTGTCGACACCCAAAATAAGTGTCAACACCACGTCCGTGTCGGAGTTTTGACTGCTGACCAAAAGGTGTCGACCCCTAAAGAACGTGTCGACACTATATCCGTGACGAGCTTCTGCCTACATTTGCAGTTTCTTCACCATTCACTGATCAGATCCACAAAACCTTCCCATATGACATCCCATCATACGTTTGACAAAAAAACACTATCTAAATCTGTCCTGGCCCGCAATTAATTGATTGGTGCCCTTCTTTTGCTATAACATTCTCTCAAGCATGCAACAGGATTCATAATCCAGTTGACAAGGTTAAAAGCATACCTGTCATTTTTTGATTTGACCCAAAAGAAGGATCTCATCTGAATGAGCTCAAATAGCTTTCCCGCATCAATCTTTTTTCCTTGAAATATCTTTTGATTTCTGGCCAGCCACACCGTCCACACCAAGGCATTCCAAATACAATCCCATCCGTCTCTTAAACTTGCCTCTTTCAACTCTCTTTCAAAATTCTGGAAAGTGTTCCAGCATTCTTCTTGTAATGTGACATTAATACCCCACCACTTTGCACAAGCCTTCCATAACCATCGAACCATCTTGCATTTTAAAAACATGTGTGTTGAGTCTTCCTCATCTTCATTGCATATACCGCATCTGCATTCTCCCATGTTTTTAATGACCCCTCTTCTCAGTAGGTTCATTTTTGTTGGGATTCTATCCTGAAGTAATTGCCAATTGAACGTCGATATTTTGCTTGGGAGGATGGGATTCTAGACTCTTTTGAATGTTGTGCTTCCGTTTGCTCCACTTTCTTCTTTTGTTAAAATTGCATAGGCTGATTTTGTTGTGTATTGGCCATTTTTGTCGTG